GGCTAAGAAGAGATCAGAACCATTGAAGTAAAACCTTTGCTTTGCTGAGACAGTTGATGCTGGCTGGTTAGCTGGGGCTGAAAAGTCAGCTGTGAGTAACAACAGACCAGCATCACTGTCCTGAAATCTGGGAAGTATTTCCTCAGGGCTAGCACACAGAAGCTGTGGTCCAGAGGGAACCCAAGCCTCCATCTTAAGCTGGAAGCAGGACTTGGTAATGTGTAAGAGTCTCCAGCATGGTTCTGGTGTTGAAAATGTGGAAGGGGTCACAGAGAGCAGCTGAGGCTTAGCACTCTCTCTAAGAGGCCGGGAAAGACCATAGGTGAAAGTGCAGCTTCCGTTGCAGTGAGGACTCCAGGACTGAAGAGGTCATGGAGAGGATCTGAGGCTTTTCACCATGCGATGCCAGTGAAGGTGCAACTTCTGTTTCAGTGGAGACTCCAGCTTTTTGGAGATGTGAAGACCATGGGACGACCACCAAGGGCAGCAGCAAGTATGAAATGGAGCTGGCCTGGGCCTGCGAGATGAGCTGTGTGTTCTGTGGATGGCAGAGTCAGTGATGTGGTACTACCAAAACCCTTTGGAGCCCAGAAGATCATGAGTACATCTCAGATGTCCAGCCTTGAGCTACTTTGCTAGACTTTGGTTTTACTTAGGTGTGCCAGATTCTTCCCTTTTGAAATAAGACAGTACTTGTTTTGGATTTTACAGGAGCCCACAGTTAAGAGACTTTTAAATATTTGGATTTTCCTAAGGACTGTGGGAATTTTAAAGTTGTACCATCTGATGCTGTAATATTAACATCATACCTTTGGAGATAAGAAATGGAAAGGTTGTGGTTTGACAGTGATGTATTTGTGTGTCAAGTTGCCAAGGGGTCAATTGTGTTGGATAGCTTTAGTGTCAACTTGACATACCTGGGTAGAGGGAACCTCAATTGGGGAATTTCCTCCATTGGACTGACCTGTGGCTTTGTCTGTGGAGTATTTCCTTGATTTTTGAGTGATGTGGGAGGGCCCAGCCCACTGTGAGAAGTCCTATCCCTGGGCAGGTTGTTCTGTATTGTATAAGAAAGCAGGCTGAGCATGGGCCACAGGAGCAAGCCAGTAAGCAGTGTTCTTCCATGGCCTGTGCTCCAGCTCCAGCCTCAACCTTCCTGTCCTGAATTCCAACCTTAGGCTCCCTAGAGATGAACTGTAACCTGGGTGATGTAAGATAAAATAAACCCTTTCCTCCTCAAGTTGGTATTGGTCAGAGTGTTTTGTCATAGCAATTAAAGTCAAAATAGAACAAATGGATCAGCAGGTAAGAGTGTGTGCTGCTCTGGCAGAGGAACTAGTTCAGTTCCAAGTCCTCAAATGGCAGCTCACAACTGCCTTTAACTCCAGCTTCAGGAGATCAAACACTCTTTTCTGCCCACCATGGACACCGCATGCACATGGTACACATACTCTTGTAAAACACTTGTACATATAAAATAAAATACAATATAGTGATATAATATAATAACATGAAATAGAATACTCCATTTAGGAACTAGGTTATATCTTTCAGACACCTGTACATAGACTGCCATTATATCCTTTAAAGAATGACAAGAACAAAAGACATCTTGTCAGTTATCATATTATGCTAGTACACAATGATTTTTCATAAATGTCTGTTATGTAACTTGTCTACAGTTAAAATGTATCATAGCTATGTGAGTATCAGTGCCTTAGTTATAACATCATGACCTAAATAGAGCAATAGGAATGCCCAATGGATAGGAAAATTCACATATTTTCAATTCAATTAGTTACTTTATCATAAAAACAAAGCTCCTTAAGGGGAAGTTATATATTTATAGAAATATTTAAAATAATGGACATGGACATTGACCATTGATTGATTTCTCTTTGATCTCAAGGTATCTTCACTACTTAATCTAATCTCGGTGTTTAAATATTAGATAAGAATTTCAGTTTACTAGTTTTAAATAATCATTATTCTTATGAAAAATATATATTTAAAATGTATAAATATCACATACTTGCAATAATAGTTAAGAAAATAGCCAAGTCAAAAGAGATATTTTCTTTTTTTAAAAAAAAATTAAATTTGTTTTTATTGAAGTTTTGTGTATTTCATGCAGAACATCTCAATCAATCTTAATCATCTTTACGCCCCTTCCCCACTGGCACCCTCTCATAGCCCTCCCACTGGAATTCATGTATTCTGTCATTTGTATTAAGGCCTATTGTGTCATTAGTGTTCTCAGACATCCCTCAGTGCAAGCTCATCTACTGAAGTCTATTCAGCCTACCTAGAGTCCCCTCTTTAAGAAGATCAGCTCTTCCTCACCCAGCAGGAATCAGTTGCCAATATTTCTTCAGCTAAGATTGAGGTCTGCTGTCCATTTCCCCAGTTCTATGCTGGGTTTTGTCTGCTTGAGTTTGTATGGGACTTGTGTATGCCGACACCATTGTTGTAGATTCATATGAGCAGGGTCCCAGGAGCTTGTAGGTCTCTATTTCTAAATGGTTGGTCACCTCCTCCCTGGCTCTTATAATTTTTCCACCCCGTCTTGAGCTCTGGGTGGGTGAAGTTAATATAGGAGTCCTGTCCAAGCATCCTGCAGGCTCTTAATCTTTACGTTTTGGCCATTTGTGACCTTTTATGTTTCTGGTCCTCTGTTGCATGAAGGAGCTTTATTAATGAGAATTGAGAGTTTCATTAGAGACCGCTTTACCCCTGTTCTATGTTCCTTGAGCCTTAGATATAGAGGTTGCATTGTAGATGTGTTGCTTAGGCCTGGGCAATTCATAGGCAATGTTTGTGTGTGACCAGTTGTGATACTTGGTAATAGTCTCTGTTGGGTGCAAAAGAAGCTTCATTGATGAGTGCTTACTGGGGTATTTGTCTGTAAATATAAGAACATGTATTTTGCACGTAGTAAGGAATTACATTAGTCTAGGGATATGACAGTCTTGGGGTTTTTTCTAAGATCTATGAGCACTCCAGTCATGCATATTTGGCTGTGTCTATAGTACCACACTTGAGTTTCCTCCCATTAAGTGGGCTTTTATTCCAATTAGGTAGCTGTTGAATGCCGCCAAAATGAAAGTGCTTTGGAATGCACTAAGAAGATGCCAAGGGAAAACACCACTCGGTGGTCCAGCCCAGCTTCAGGACCAAATAACCACATCAATGTCCAGCACAGCATATGACATTGGTAGAGTAGTAGCACATAAAGAGGTATTTTCATCTCCAAAAATTGTATATATCTTGTTTAAACTATATGTCTCTACATACACCCCCCAAATAATCACTGTCTCAAGATTTTTATTTTTATTTTTACTCTCTCAAGATTTGAAATAGTTTTCACTTTTCTTTTAAAAATTATGTTAGCCCTTCAATAGATATCTGTAAACAATAAGGTTTAGTTTCAGGGAAAGTTCATGAATGTTACATAGAATATTCCTGTATGTATTTTGTATTTTTATCTTTTACTTGATATGTTGTCCCAGGCGACAGGATTTCCTTAAAATCATCTTCAGTTTGTTTTACTTGCTGGTGCTCATGGTGCACATAATTCCCTCTCCGTAGCTACTTACTTCTAACCAACAGCACATGGCAACAGTTAGGGATGAAGTGACAAGTGATCATGACTCTTCCTGTTGGCCAACTCTGTTGTACAGAATCTCCCTCTGATCTAGTTTCTTTCTCCATTGCTGTGACAAAATACTCTGACTAGAACCAACCTGGGGAGGAAAGAGTTTATTCAGCTTACATCTCCCGGGTCACAGCTCATCAGAGAGGCCAATGTAGGAACTCAGGGCAGGAACCTGCAGGCAGGAGCTGAAACACAGGCCATGGTGGAACACTGCTTACTGACTTGCTCCCCTGGCCCCTGCTCAGCCTGCTTTCTTATACAACACAGGCCCACCTGCCCAGAGGTGGCACCACCCGCAGTAGACTGGACCCTCCCACATCACTCAACAATCAAGAAGATGCCCCCAAAGACACGGCCACAGGCCAGTCCAATGGAAATAATTCCCCAATTGAGGCTCCCTCAACCCAGGTGTGTCAAGTTGCCACTAAAGCTATCCAGCACACTCTCTGTCAGTAGCTTGATGAATCCAGGTGCTATGTGAGATATTCATGAGCCAACAGAAGCTTAGGACAGTCTGCATATAATGCCCAAGAGATTTATGTGGTAGCAAAAGCTTAGGACAGCCTGCATCCAACACCCAAGAAGGTACTGAGGCTCTCACTCTAATGGTATCAAACACTCTCAACAGTCTCCCAGGTCAACGTGGAAGTGGATCCTTTCAGGCTGGCCCCTGACATGAGGCCCCAGTGACAGATGATGCCTTTGCTGAAGCTCTGTGACCCACTAGGAAACAGACAATGAATTCCCCATCCACAGAATCTAAGACAAGAAACATGTGGTATGTTAGCTGCTGACTATGGAGGAAAAACAGAAAAACTGCAGGTTATTACTCTAGATTTATATGGTCTCTCATAACCTTTAAGAGGGGAAGAAAGAATCAAAAGATGCAGAGAAGTGGATGTACTAGAATATTCCTAGTCATAAGACCTGAAATCCCAATAAGACAACTGCCCCCTGTAAGGCTCAGTAGAGTCTCAGTTTATCAAGGCATCAAGGGACAAATGAGGACAATTCCAGAAAAAGAAATAAGGAGACAATAAGTCATTTTATTTGTATGTCTTCAAACTTTAGATTTATTTAATATGTAGGAAACTGTCCATTTTTGAAAATATGGCATAGTACAACATATCCCAAGAGTTTACAGATTTCAGAGAAAACGCAAACATACTCATTTTAGAGAGAGGTACTAAGCAGGAAGAAGCAGGGGCAGGGGCAGGATATTTGAAGGCCAAAATAAATGTCTGTTGGGACAGAAGCGTTACAATTGGTCTCTCTGGATTCACCTCGCAGATGATCTACATCAGGAATGTTGGTGGATGAAGAACAGGAGCCTGGGAGAGAGTGCTCAGCAGCAAGAAGCACTGGAGCATGCTGGGCGGCAGCAGGTGGTCCTGCAGCAGGTGGTCTGGCAGCAGATGGGGCGGCAGCAGCTGGAAATGCAGCACTGGGGCCTGCAGCAGCTGGACACACAGCAGGAAGGACGGCAGCAGGGGGACTGGCAGCAGGAGGGTCTGCAGCAGCTAGAGATGCAGCAGGTGGGGCGGCAGCAGCTGGATCCACCACAGCTGGCACCACCACAGCAGGGGCGGCAGCAGCTGGAGATGCAGCAGGTGGGTCTGCAGCAGCTGGACACGCAGCAAGTTGGGCGGCAGCAGCTGGGGCGGCCGCAGCTGGGCTGGCAGCACACAGACTGGCAGCACTGGGGCCTGCAGCAGCTGGACACACAGCAGCTGGGCCGGCAGCTGGGGCGACAGCAGGTGGGGCCGCAGCAACTGGATACACAACAAGTTGGGCGACAGCAGGTGGGGCGGCAGCAGCTGGAGATGCAGCACTGGGGCCTGCAGCAGCTGGACACACAGCAGCTGGGCTGGCAGGAGGTGGTCCTGCAGCAGGTGGGCTGGCAGCAGCTGGGCTGGCAGCAGCTCTCCTGGCAGCAGCCTTGGCCACAGCCCTGCTCAGAGCAGACAGAGCCACAACAGGAGCTGACCATGGTGTCAAAGGAGGAGGTGCTGAGTGGTTTTCAAGAAGATTGTTTGGAAGGTTTGGAAGTCTCCCTGCTCCACATCCCCTTTTATACCCTGCTAAGGGGCTGCTGTCCTCACACACAGAATTCTTTCCTTATTATTGTTTATGTTAATAAGTAGGTGATTATCAAATTGGGTAAATTTTTTTCCTGATTACATTCTCAAGGTGACTGGAGAACACTATTTCCTCTTCCTGATGTGTTTGAATTCAGCATCAGCTCTTGACAGACCAGAAACTGCATGTCTTTCTTGTTTGAATTTCCTCCAAGTATTTTAGTTCTATTTGCTTCATTCTGATTTTGTGTGGGCCACTGAGTCTGAAGTCATGATGATTCTTATAATCCTACAATCCTTTCAGGAAACACTGAAGGATAAATTTTCAACTTGTTCTGATGGTTCTTTCCTTATGTGTCAGGTGAACAAGAAGGTTTATATGTGAAACTAGGCTCCCGGCATGGTTGCATAGCCATTAGGACACTACACTGTGAACTACAGCCTCTCTTCTATGTCTACATGTTTTTGAATGTTCTATAACAGAATATCCCTCTGTATGTTTGGAATTTCAGTTCTTTTGCTCAGTGTTACATACTCTCTTGGATAGGTAACCCCAAACGTGGTCCCCATTTTCTTACCTCTTGGTGCATATGGTTGCTGTATTTTGAATATGTATAATATTCCCCCCAGTTCTGTGTGTTACGGGTTGGTACCTTGAGTTCTACTTAGGAGTTGCTCAAGAGGCAGTGCCTCTGGGGAGGGGTCAAAGGTCATTGGGGGCACATCCTCCAAAGGGATCAAGGGATCCCAGCTCCTTCTGTCCTTGGCTTCTTCCTGACTGGTGTGAGTAGTCTGGGATAGCATGTGTTCCTTGTCACTGTCATTTAGCACCATCATCAGAAGCCCAAAGCAAATAGGCCACTCTAACTTACATTGGTGTCTCTATAACTGTGAGCAGAATTAAACTTTAATGTCAGTTGCACCTAATATTTTGCTATATCAGTGTGGAACTTGCTAATGCAATGGCCTGTGTAATTTCCTCACCTTGGGTGACTTACTTCTAACCAACAGCACATGGCTGCATTCAGCAGCGGAATGACAGGAGATTATGGCTTTCTTGTTGCTGGCGAACTCTCCTGTGCAGGCTCTGCCTGTCACTGACTTTGATGAATTCAGCTGCAGTGTGGGAAAGGTTCATATGGAAAACCTGAGGACAACCTGCATATGACACCTGAGAAGACACCAAGGCTCTCACTCCAATGGTGTCCGGGAATCCACTATTCTCAGCTATCACAGAAGTGACCTTAGAATTGGATTCTTCCAGGTTGACTCCACACAATAGACCCCCCCCATCTTTACTGAACATCTTTAGCTAACATCTTTACTGGAGCTTGTGAAACATTGGGAAATGGACAAGGCAACCAAATATTGGATTCTTCATCCACAGAAACTGTGAATTAATTAATTTTTGGTGTTTAGTACTAAGTTTTGAAATAATATAATGATGGGTGACTAGAAGTGTTTTTCTGCTCCTGCAAAAAGCCCTGAGAAGAAGAACAAATTATAAAGTCTGAAAAGAAATAGATATGCAAGAATATACTTACTTAGGAGGTCTGAAAACCTAACAAACTGACTTTGTTTCAGAGCCACCCTAGGAGAAGCTCTGGTTACCAAGGTGATAAGGAAGGAACAGGTAAGTGTCACCAGCATCATGGAAAAATTCAGAGCAAAGCCAATTTTCTAAAGCCCTCATTTTGATAGGAAATATTGTGGAATGTAGCTCCGTAGGACTGATGGGACTCATAAGATCACAAAAGAATCCAGGTAAAACCATTTAGCTCTTAGGATTAATATACATATAATCATGGATGAGTAGCAAGTTAGGAATGGTGACTGGAGTAAGTGGAGTATAACTCCAGCAATCTGTCGATATTGAAGGAGAGCTTGGTGCTCCTCATTATAAGTTGTAGGCACCCCAAAGTGGCACAGCCATAACCATAGGCTTTACATGGGCTTTATGGATATGGGTGTGTATCAGGGTATGTGTATATATATATATTGTTAGTATATATTAATTTCACAGAATAATGAGCTTCATCATTGCACATTATAAATATATACAATGTACTCCAATCATATCTGTCTCTCATCAACCTCTCTCATCATTCCCCACCCCTCCCCATATTCCCCTGTCTACTTTCATGTACATAGTTCTACATATGAGAGAAACACGTGATGATTGTCTTCTGGGGACTGGATATCTTTTGAGGTTTTTTAGATCTCTGATTCTTTTAATGTAAACTCCCATAGCTATAAACTTCCCTTTTAGTACTGCTTTTGCTGTGTATCAGAGGTTCTGGTAAGTTCTGTTTTCATTTTATTAGATTCTAGGTGTTTTGTAATTTCTTCCCTGATTTTTTTTCAATAACCCACTGATCTCACAAGAGTGTACTGTTTAACCACTATGCATTTGTATAGTTTCTTTTACTGTTGATTTCTGATTTTATTCTGTTGGGATACAATGAGATACAATAAAATTTTTCAATTTTTATATTTGTCAAGTCTTGCTTTATGATCTAAATATGATCTGTTTTTAAAGAAGTTTAGTGGATTCCTGAGGATGTATTTGGGATGTACAATGGAACATTCTTCGATACCCGTTAAGTCCATCTGATCCAATGGTACAGTTTAATCCAAAAGATACTATGGTAAATTGGGGGCGGGGGTAGGGGAGGGAGACTAGATGATGTAGCTACTGATGAAAGTGGCAATTTGAAATCATCCACTATTATTGTATCTAAGCCAATCTAACTATTTATGGAAGTAGTGTTTGTTTTATAAAGTAGATGCACAACTTTCAGTGCATATGTATTTATTATTATTATTTTAGTAGCATTGCTCTCTAATGTGTACATATGTATTTCAGAACAACTTAAGAGTGAAGAAGGGGTTTAGATAAGTTTCCCCAATGGAACACTGTGATTCCTCCTCCAAATTCCAATCTGGATACAGTTCTCAGACACATGGTCCAACAAATGAAAAAGAGTGCAGTCTTCAGCGAGATAGAAGCAAAGAAAATACACATAGCAGCAATTCTTTTGTCTATTCCAAAAGTTTATCTCCTATAGCAACCTATACAGGGTCAAGTGAAACGCCATATATTTGGGTGTTATTGGTCAGCAGATGAGAGTTGACACTAACAGCTACATTCCAAGATGCTAGCCAGATCCCCATGGAATCTGACAATGGTACCCCAAAAATAAAATAAAATAAAATAAAATAAAATAAAATAAAATAAATGATAGAGTCTTGACCAATGTCAGCTTCACAATTCACCCACTGGGTCCACAGGCATACCTGATAGTTGGAGTGTTGTCTAAATGATGTACAACAGCTACATTCTGATAAAGATAAAGTAACCACTGGCTCAAAATCCTCAGGATATGACCTAAGTGGTTCTTAAAGCAAGTCACATAGACCAGCAGACATCTTCTCTCTGGTACTCCTAATATAACTTTCTGTAGCAATTGTGAGTAATGAGTTGGAGTAACCAGAAAAAGAGGTGGGCGAGTGGATGATAAGATGTTCTCCGGAGGTACCTTTCAGGCTATGGTCCCCCATCCTTAAGCTGGTGTGAATGCACAGTGTAGGAAGCTGACACTGTTATCTGCTCCGTTCTTCAGGTAATTGTTCTTACAGACAACACTTTCTTTAGACATTTCCCTATCTACACCTTCACCTCCTACCCCAAGTGGCCACAGCTAGTGATAACTGGGTGGCAGTGCAAAGGTCCATATACTTTGCCTCGAAGGCTGTGATTCTGCTCACAATCTGGAACTTTCCAGTCACGCACTCTGCTTCTATTACTGTAATTTTCCTCCTCGAGGTTTCTCCTGAGAGCATTTCCTTTTAAATATTTCTTACAAAAGTCCCTGTTTAAGGTTCTGCTTTTACCGAATTCAGTAAAGCACATACTTCTTATAATAGTGCCCCCTTAAATACAACTTCATTCAACATACAGTCTGACTGGCATCCTCTTAGATATTCCATCTTTATCTTGACAGTTACTAACATTGTATTTTTCTCTATCCCTCAGACATAGTAACATGGAAAATAACGAAGCTAAGCAATCTAAAAGACACTGTAAAAATTAGAAAGAATCAACAATGTGTCAGGATATTTACCAGTCAAGTAGATGCTAAATCTGAGTTGGTCTTACATCATGGCAACCACCTATATTGAATGTCAAATATGAACTCCTGCAACTCTGAAATTAGAGAACATGCTTATCTTAGACCGTGTGGCTTTGGAGCAGATTTAGATATACGGATTTGAGAACAAGGAGTTTCTCTGGGAAATGACCCCAGGAAGCACTGTAGGGAACTTTGGGGATGATTCAGGCAGGCAGGACAGCCGGCACATACTCTTATGATGAGCAGAATGCCCCTGGAAGCTGCTGAGCTCCAGTCCCACTGAGGAGTTCTAGAATCCAGAAACAACATGTGTCCACTGAGGGGGCATGAGACCCATGTCTTCTCTGACTCCTTTCAGTGCTTGAGCTGCATGCCCAGGTGTGAATGTCCCTGCCCGGAGCTTGGCCTTTGGTCAGAGATAGTCTGGGGGCAGAGTCAAGGTCTTACTCTAGAATTCATATTTAGGTTTTAGATTGCAGATTTCTGAGGAAAAGGAGTTTGGCACGCATGCTATGACCGCCTATGATCCTCTCAGTTTTTAGAGATGAGCTTCAGAAAATTGAAGATAAGAACAAGGAAGAAAAATAAGGAAGCAAGATAGTTTTATATTTGTCATGGCTGCAAAATTCACATTTATTTAGGTCATAGAAATATCTCCACTTTAGGAAACATGACCCCCGTGGGGTCACATCATAGTTTGATGGAATCTAAAGGAAACAATCTTGGGAGAGAGGAAATTATGATTGTAAACAAAACAAACATCCTAATCAACTGGAACC